CAATGGGAAGACCACGAGAGCCTCAGAAGGGTCCAAGGACCATGGGGGGAAGACCACCCTAGCCAATGGGAAGACCAAAAGAGCCCCAGAAGTGTCTAAGGACCATGGGAGGAAGACCACCTCAGCCATTGGTCCTTTTACTCTCACCACATCTCACGTGGAGCTGAGTTCCACCACGTCAGAGACCCCAAGCAACAAAAGCCATTCATATCAGAACAAAGATGGCTCACAGAGAGGTCTTCATGCTGGAGGAATGAGAGAGAATGATTCATTCCCTGCATGGGCCATAGTTATTGTGGTCCTGGTGGCTGTGATTCTCTTCCTGATATTCCTTGGCCTTATCATTTTGGTAAGGGAGAGGGATGCTACAGGGGAGCAAACCCATGAGATAGGGAGTTGACAAGAGATTACGGATCTGAACCAGAGGGAGTAATTAGCTCAGAAAAAGAGGCATTGTAGTGGAGGGATGGTAGTAATAGAGGGGTAATGGTGGTGAAAACTATGGGGCAAGACAATGATGCATGGGGCATGAACAATGGCATTGGAGAGAAGTCTCTGGCTGAGAAAAAAGGGTGTAGAATAGGGGAAAATTGGGGTTGGAGAAAGAATCTGGGATGTGAGAATAGGGTATATTAGGATAGGGAAAATTGGACAGAGGAGAAGGAAGCAGGAAGGGAGGAATTGGAGATGAAGTCTGGGACTTAGTGCATGGGATCTGGGGCTGGAATAAGGATCAAGGTTTGGATGGAATCTTGGGAAAGGAGGAAGCTAAAGGTCTAGGGTCAGGAAGAATAGAATCAAAGGATTATGGGTGTTGAGGAAAGTAAATGACATAGCAGATGAAACCCATTCCTCCTTTCTCCTAATCACAGGTCTCCTATATGATGAAAACACACCATGCACTGATCCAGAACAAGAAGGACAATGACCCAGAGAATTATGGGGGTCCTAACTCCTACCCAGTCTACCTGATGGAGCAGCAGACTCTTGGCATGGGCCAGATCGCTTCCCCACGGTGATCCTTTAGAAAGTGCCCTGCTCTTCCATGCCCTTCCTAAGATGAGGAATTAGACTCACAATTCATATTTCCTGGACTCCAGGAAGGGCAAAGTACTGACAGTTAACAGCATTAACCCTTCATCAGCTGTGTTCTTATTGAAACTGATCTAAGGATGAGATGATAAGCAAGAAGGATGTGACTCTGGGAGATATAAAAGAAAGAATGAATAATACGAGCATGTGTTCTCTGTAGAAGCTGATGGTCTCAGAATGAAAAGATGTTTGACGGCCATATGGAGTGGGCACCAATACTGGACACTGAGTCTTGGGAAGGGCAGCCTGGCTAAGGGAAGTTTGGGGGCCTTAGAAGGCAATGCCCCAGATCTGACTGTAAGTTGGGTTTCAGGACCCATCTGTAATATTTCTATCTATTACTTAGACTTTGTGTGTAAGCAGGCTTGTCTTTGAGTTCCCAGGACACTTGTCATCCCCCTTTTTAAAATGGAAAAGTAGAAATGAAAAAAAAATAAAATGGCAAAGTAGGATCTGAGAAGAAAAGAGGACTTATTTCCTTCACTGTTTCTACACCTGGGAGGAAGGAAAATTCCAGAAAAGATGATAAATATCTCTCATCTAGATGGTTCTTACCTCATCCTTCTGAATCCTTTCATTTTTCTAAATGTCTATAGTAGGCATCCTGCTGGTTTGGCTTGCCGGGTTGTGGGTGGCATGCAGGGAGGGATTTTTGTTTGGCCTGCAGTGTTACCCATTCATCCCAGAGCAGCGGGGACTCCGGGTTCCCTGGGTCCCTGAGTATGAGGCCCTCCCTTCTTCCCTCTAGGCTCCACTTGGCTCGAGGTTCCTGGATCTTGCTCCGTAACAGAGCGGATCAATGGTTCACAGACGGCACCCCTTCCCCGCCCCCACCCCGGGGCGCCCCTTTTGCCGCCGCGGACGACACGCGGCCACCAGCCGAACCATGAGCCCGGCACAGCCCCCGGCTCTCGCGGGGTGCAGTGCCCAGCCCCGGCTTCCTGCGCCCAGCGCTTCCTTCCACCCGCGCGCATCGCACGGTCGGTCAGAAAACGAGTCTGCGCGGTGCTTGCTTTCAGTGCATCACGTACTTCCATCCTCTGAAAACTCTGCGGGTTCTTTCTTAGTACACTTGTTTGACAGACGGCAAAACTGAGACTCAGAGAAGTGCCCGTTCAAACCCACACAGCTCCTGGGAACAGAGATTTTTCTCCCACTCGAACGTCACTTCGTTCCTTAGTGTAACTTGGCAGCATGACCTGGATGGGTGGGACGTTTCGGGGACCACCTAAGGCACAGAGCGTTATCGAGGTTTGGCAAGAAAGCGTCCAGCTCCTTCTCCCACAGTCCAGGTCTCCCGTCCAGCCTCTTGGACCTCCCAGAGCTTTGTTCTTCTGGCCCCACAGGGCCGGGCTCTATCCTCACAGCCTCTGTGGCCCTCTGAGACTCATTCTCTGGCCTCAGGGTCACAGTGCCCCCACCCCCCCCCCCCCCCAGCGCACAGCCCCCCATAGCAGACTGTGCCAGCACACCTGCTCCTGGACAGTGACTGCCGGCAGGGTAAGAAGATTCAACGATTTGGGACCCAGTCACCTTCATTTTCTCCCTGCTGCCTCCTACAAAGTCCCCTGCTCCAGAATGAGACATCCCCGGAGAAAACAGGTTTTTGCTGACTTCTGGCCCTAAGGGTGGGTCTCCTTTCCTCTGACAGTTTTGATCCCCTTGCTCTCTCTCCCTCCCTGTGCCAGAGATGCCTCTCCCTTGAGAGGGAGGGCCCAGAAGTTGTGGTTCCCCCACACCCCCCTGCCCAGCAGCACCTAGAAAGCCCACAGCAATAGCCAAGGGAGACAGGAAAGTGAGCCGGGCACATTGTGCAGCAAGTGTTGGAACCCAAGAGTCCAGCTGTCCCAGTCCCCGGCTCCCTACTACCATGGAACTTACCCCAACTGATCTTACTCCTCCCACAACCCTGGCCCTAGCAAGCTTTTGAAACTTCATGACCCAGTGAGACTCCAGGCATCAACTCGACCCCTGCAGTCCACCTCTGCTATAGAGCCCAGGCATTCTAGATAAAACTTCCAATGTCGATTGTTTCAAGATGAGGAGAGGAAAATCATCGCCTGCCTCCTGCATCCTGATGTGGCTTCTCTTTGGAATCCTGGGACTTGGTAAATGAATTATCCATCAATCACAGATGACACGGAGGCCACAAAAAGTCAGGAGGAGACAAGGGTCTCTGTCCCAGACACTACCTGCATATTCTCATTCTTTTTCTGGAAGCAAAGATGATAAACTTCTTTTTGCCCATTTCTGTGAAAGTCAGTACCGACCCTAGCCCCCACTGACCATGATTGTGGCCCTCACCTTCACCTTCACCTTGCAGCAAATCCACCCTTCTCCTGCCCTTCTGACCTTTAGCTACAAGCAGGAACACAAATAGAGCTTTATTTTGATTTTCCCTTGGATTCCTGGAGTGTAATAGCTGCTTGATAAATGTTCTGTATCTAACTTGAAAATCCTAGTTTCTATATCATCCTTAATTCTTTATTAGAGCTAGGCTCCAAGTCTAAGTAAAGCCAAGGGAAATGAAAATATCCCTTCCAGAAATGCTGCCTAAATGTAAGTCCTTGGTCAGCTCTCAGAATTCCTGAATAGAGACACATGTGGAGGGACTGCAGAGACCCCAGGGCAGTGGAAATTAGCAGATGAAATTAGCCCGAGGAGAAGTAAAGTCTGGGCTCTCATGTTCCTAGCCATTTCACCTGATTTCTCTCTTAGACTCCTCTAGAATTCCAAGTTTCTCCTTTTAATTATTAAAATCAATGCCAAATAACTTATAAAGGCTCTTCATTTCCACTGTAGGATGGAATGCCTAAAAAAGGGAGTAGTCAGGGTAAGTGTGGAGTCTAGAAACAGGCCTGGGTCTTTAAAATAAAGAAGAAAAAAAAAGGAGCACCTAGGCGGCTTAGTCGTTTAATTGCCTGCCTTCGGCTCAGGTCATGATCCCCAGGGTCCTGGGATCGAGCCCCATGTCGGGCTCCCTGCTTAAGCAGACAGTCTGCTTCTCCCTCTCCCTCTGCTCCTCCCCCCTGCTTGTGCTTAGCTCTCACTCTCTCTCAAATAAATAAATAAATAAATAATCAGAAAGAGGCCTGGGTTTATTTTTGTGTATGGTGTAAGGAAATGGTCCAGTTTCATTCTTCTGCACATGGCTGTCCAATATTCCCAACACCATTTGTGGAAGAGACTCTTTTTTCCATGGGATAATCTTTCCTGCTTTGTCAAAGATTAGGTGACCATAGAGTAAGGTCCATTTCTGGGCTCTCTATTCTGTTCCATTGATCTTTGTGTCTGTTTCTGGACCATTTCTTTACACCATACATAAAAATAGACTCAAAATGGATGAAAGACCCAAATATAAGACAGGAGTCCATCAAAATCCTAGAGGAGAACACAGGCAGCAACCTCTGTGACCTCGGGCACAGCAACTTCTTCTTAGACAAGTCTCCAAAGGCAAGGGAAACAAAAGCAAAAATGAACTATTGGGACTTCATCAAGATAAAAAGCTTCTGCCCAGCAAAGGAAACAGTTGACAAAACCGAAAGACAACCGACACGATGGGAGAAAATATTTGCAAATGACATATCAGATAAAGGGCTAGTATCCAAGATCTATAAAGAACTTACCAAACTCAACACCCAAAGAACAAATAATCCAGTCAAGAAATGGGCAGAAGACATGAACAGACATTTCTCCAAAGAAGACATACAAATGGCCAACAGATACATGAAAAAATGTTCAACATCACTCAGCATCAGGGAAATACAAATCAAAACCACAATGAGATACCACCTCACACCAGTCAGAATGGCTAAAATTAACAAGTCAGGAAACGACAGATGTTGGCGAGGATGCGGAGAAAGAGGAACCCTCCTACACTGTTGGTGGGAATGCAAGCTGGTGCAGCCACTCTGGAAAACAGTATGGAGGTTCCTCAAAAAGTTGAAAATGAGCTACCCTATGACCCAGCAATTGCAGTACTGGGTATTTACCCCAAAGATACAAATGTAATGATCCGAAGGGGCACCTGAACCTCAATGTTTATAGCAGCAATGTCCACAATAGCCAAACTATGGAAAGACCCCAGAAGAATGGATAAAGATGTTACACACACACACACACACACACACACACACAATGGAATACTCAGCCACCAAAAAAGTGATATCTTGCCATTTGCAATGATGTGGGTGGAATTAGAGGGTATTATGCTAAGCAAAATAAGTCAATCAGAGAAAGTCAATCAGTGAAACATGATCTCACTCATGTGGAATTTAAGAAACAAAATAGAGGATCATAGAGGAAGAGAGGGAAAAATAAAACAAGACAAAATCAGAGAGGGAGACAA